AAGTAGGTGCTTTAGACCACTGAGCCATCTCACCAGCCCCTTTTTGGGTCTTTTTGAGGCAGCTTTTGCTATGTAGTTCATGCTGATCTTGACCTCAGTATAGCCCAGGCTGGCCTCCAACTGACAGCGACCCTGCGACCCTACTATCTCCGTCTACCGAGTGCTCTGATTATAGACGTGCACCACCAAGCCTGGCCAAAAGAAGCTTCTCTTAATGAAAAATCCTTTTAGTTGTAGCATTTTCAGTAACACAAAGAACAAATTACACTGCTTCTTCACAGTGAAATAATGAGATCATTTCCTGCTTTTGTCTATATAAGTGAACATACTAGTTATAGTAACGCAACTTACTAATAACATGTATATATAGTGACAAGTATCATAAACAATGATCACATTTCAACTTTGGAAGTCAAAGGGTATAATTAATTTTAATGTAGACAGGCTAAAACATAAGAGATTTTTACTTCCATAAAATGACTAGAACTTATTTGTTGAAACTGTCCTTCCGATTTGATTTGAAACTGTCTCATTGCTATCTCTTTGTCAATAAAACTTTGAAAAAAAAAAAAATGACTAGAACATTCCAAAATGTGCTAAGAAATACCCAACTAGGTGAAAGACCTAACTGAAGCGAGTTTTTTGTTAGTCTCTGACAGGGTCTCACTGTCTAGACTGGCTGCATACTGTCCTCAAATGACTGTCCTGCCTCTTTTTCCTGAGTAGCTGAGACTACCAATGTGTGCCACCATACATAGCTTCCCATGAGCTGAGTCAGAAATTAAACGAAAACAAAGGAAAAACTCCAGAAGTGACTAAGTACATGCCAAGGCCCCTAGGGGAAATAAATGTTCTCAATATTGTGTAAATAGCCAATATTTTTGAGCTAAGAGATGGGTTAAATAAGTCTGCTTCAGGAGAGCTAAAGACTAAAAACTAACTTACTCTTTTAACATGGATTACCAATCTATTTCTAGTAGGATCTAGTTACCCACTCTATCTCCCTTTTTTTTTTTTTTTTTTTTGGCGGAAGCAGGGATTGAACTCAGGCCTTTGCGCTTGCCAGGGAAGCGCTTATTCTCTTGAGCCATCTCCCCAGCCCCTGTTTTGTTTTTTGTTTTTTTGAGACAAGATCTTGCTATGTAGTTTAGGTTGGCCTTGAACTCATTACATAGCTTTAGGTTGGCCTTGAACTCCTGACAATCCTCTTTCTGCCTCTTGAGTGCTGGGATTACAGGCATGTATCAAAACACGTGGCAGCAACCATTTCTTAAAAATGTTCACCTAACTGTCCTACCAATTTGGTTTGAAACTGTCTCACTGCTATTTGTTTTTCAATAAAATTATGGGAAAAAAAAAGTTCACCTGGCTCTAAATCAGTTTTCTCCTAAACTTTTCAGCAAATGTTAAACTACAGAACTGAAATTTCTAGGGCCAGGGAGATAGCTCAGTGACATAAGCACCTGCCTGGCAAGTACAAGGTCCTGAATTTGATTCCCAGTACAAAAGGAGTTTATACTCCCCTCAATAATTACAAGCAAATTTTAAGATTCCTTTCTATCACATGACAAAGGTCAAAGTTCCTAATGAACTCATTGGTAATGCAAATCAGAATGATCTGGTCCTATATAAAATAAAATTATTTTGGAAAATGAAGACCCTTCTAAATGTAAAAGTTAATTCAATCTAATAGTCTTCATTCAGTTTGATCTTTGTATATGCAGAAAACTGAAAGTACTTCTAATAAAACAACAACTCTTCTACTGACAACATGGAAAAAACGACCAGACTAACCGTTGAAGGCCTCTGTACCATGTTCTCCAGCCTGGTGTGGCTAAATTCTAGGCTGATGACATTATAGAGTTTTTCTCGCTCTTCCTCAGGAGTCTCATAGTAGCGTGTCCACTGAGCCATGGTCATTTCAATGCCTTTCTGTGTATTCACATCCATAACATCCACCATCCGACGACTCCCTGCCATGAAAAATGTACTGATCATTTCTCCTGAGCCACTAGTACCTTAAATATATTAAGAATATAAACAACTGTAAGAGGAGACAAACTATCTTATGTAGAATATTCAACAACAGACAAGCAGAGAATGCTCACCTGAGATGATTAACATAATGAAATCACAGAGAATGAGAGAGTAAGATTAAAATAACCACTCCTTATTGCATGTTTAATACACTGTCAGGTGTTGAATCTTTTGGGGTTTTTGTATGTTTTTTGTAGTTCAGGCTGTCCTTCAACTTATTAGGAGCCTAGGCTGGCTCAAATTTGAGGCAATCCCCTTACCTCAGCCGCCCCAAGTACTGGGATTATAGGTTATGTGCCACCATGCCCAGCATGAATATTTTATTCAGTATCTCACTTAATCCTGATTACTCTAAATAATGTCATTTTATAAATGAGAAAATGGATGTCAAATAATTTGTAAGACAAAGCAGGACAAAATCCAGGCAGTTTAATTCCAATCAATGCTCAAACCCACTATGTTGAACAATGATCTCATCTACTCTTCCAATATGAATAAAGGACTCATTAATAACGGGTGTCAGTCTGAATTTGTCCGTTCTTTGGTATAATAGAAATTTTCCTCCATATCTGTTAATTATTTATCTACAAATATTTTCAATATGATAAAGACACCATGACACAAAGGTCTTCATGAAATTCTTCATGAACTATGACACCTGCAACAAAATGTAGCATGCCCTGCGTTAAAATGAGTATATCTGGCAGAGAAAACAAAAATTGGAGCAAAAAAGAACTAAGTTTAAACATAAGCATGAGTACTACTTTGGCAAATTATGTAATTTTTCAATCTGAATTAATACCTTTTGAGAGTCACTGTATGGGTCACTGTGAAGATTTAATCAATGAAGTAAAATGTTAGTACAAAGTACGTGCTGAACTAAATAGTAAAAATAAAACAAAAATTATTTATTTTTACCACAATGATCACAAAAGGCTTTAGGAAAAGAAGCAGAAGGATAAAAAATTAAAATAAAAGAATACTAAACAGGACAATTCCAAGCAGAGGCAATAAAATGAGCAGCCATGGCAAGTCAGTATAGCAAAATTATTTTTAAAAATGATCATTAAAAGGAGAGAGAAAATAACTACTATGTATGTGGGCTGCTAAACATACTTACTATGTATGTGGCCTGGCTGGTTATACCAGGTAGTAGTATTAGGGGCTAGTCCCCTGTATTCAAAGTTAATAGTCTACTAAGAGAAAAGAGATTACACAAATATGTTAAGAATAAAGCAGAGGGCTAGAGAGATGGCTCAGTGGTCTAAAGCACCTACTTGGAACAAGCCTGGGAAAGCACAGGGACTGCGGTTCGATTCCCCCAGCACCACATGCCAGCCAGCCCCGCCCCCTGGTGGGCTGAGCTGGCCACACACACACACACACACACACACACACACAAAACAAAAAACTAAACTTTAAAAAAAAAGAATAAAGCAGAGAGGGAAGGTATAATGAAAATACAAGGCAATCAACAAGTTAACTCTTAATGATACAGGAAAAAGTGAATGCCAAATCAAAGTTTCATACTCAATAGGATGGCCAGAATCTTAAAAATGGAAAATAACAAGTGCTGGGGGGCTGCCCCTTAGCTCAGTTCTTTAAGTGGCTGCTTCAACAAAGCAGTCAGGCTCAGGTTGCTGTGGTTCGATCCCCACAACTCAAGCCAGCCAAACCTGCCCTGAAGGCATTCGGAGCAAAAAAAAAAAAACAAAAAACAAAAAACAAAAAAACAAGTGCTGTCAGGGATTAAGAGAAATTGGAACATCTGCATATTGGTGGTGAGAAGACCAAACATTACAACCATCAAAAAGTTTGGAAGTTCCCCAATAAATTAAACATAGAATCATACAGTCCAATAATTCTATTTCTAGGTATATATACCCAAAAATGCAAGAAGTGTTCAAACAAAAGTGTGTAAATGAATACTCATAGCAGCTCTTTCATCTCAAATATCACTAAATAAACAAAAAGCATATAAAAATATTCACCTATAAAATGAAATTGAAGTACTAATACAGACTACAGAATAGATAATCCTTAACCGCGGTCCCTGTGCTTTGCTAAGCTTGTTCTAAGTGGGTGCTTTAGACCACTGAGCCATCTCACCAGCCCTATATTTCTAAATAAATCTTAATGACAAAGTATGACCTAGGTCAAGATTTGTCGTTATAGCTGTAATCATATTATTTTTAGTTAAAATTCTAGAAATATTAAAGAAAATAACATTTATAAAGAACGTTATTATAATTTTCTATTCCCTCTTTTACAGTTATTTATTACAGTTATTTTTTCATTGTTTTATTTTTATTTCTTTAGAATTGGTGGTAGTCCTGGGGAGATCACTCAGTGGCAAAGCACCTGCTTGGGAAGTTCAAAGTCTTGAATTCAATCCCCAGTACTGGGGGAAAAAAGAAAAAAAAGAATTGGTGGTAGTGCCTTTTTATTTCTGATTTTGGTAATCCCCTACGCCCCATCGCCCGTCCATCTACCTAAATCAAATTTTGTTGATTTTTTTAAAGAGTGAGGATACAGTTCTAATAGTTGAGCATTTCCCTAGCATTTGTGACACCCTAAAGTGAATTTCAGGTGGAAGGGAAGGAGGACCACCACCAACTTTTGGTTTTAATTTCTACCAGTTTTTCTGTGCTTTTATCTCTGCACTAATCATTGGGTCTCACTATGCAGTGCAGGATGGCCTCAAACTCATGGTGATCCTCCTGCCTCAGCCTTCCAAGTTGTGCTATAATTAAAGGTGTACAACATGCTCAGCTTAATATTTATTATTTTTTGTCTTCTGTTATCTTTAGTTTTTCATTTTCTAGTGCCTTAAATTGTAGTGTTGAGTTGCTGATCTGATATTTATTTGGGTTTTCTGGAGAAGGGGTCTTGCTATGTACTTCACACTGGTCTTAAAAGTCACTATGTATCCTAGGCTGGCCTCAAAGTCAGTGATCCTCCTTTCTGAGCCTCCCAAGTACTGGGATTACAGGTGAGAGCCACCATGCTGAGACTTATTTTTAAATGTAACCATTTATAAGTTTCTTCCTTAGCACTATTTTCACTATATCTCTTAAGTTTTTTTCCCTTATTTACTTGGTATAGGGTATTACTATGCAGCTCGGACTCATAGTAATCCTATTTTCAGCCTCCTCAGCGCTGGGATTACAGGCGTGCACCACCATGCCTAGACTTGGTCACTGGCTCAGAGCACCCTGAGAGTGGGGCTGGTTTGGCATGAAGAACTGGGGATCAAATCCTGGTCCTTGAGCTTGTCAAAGCAGGCAGTCAGTCTCTGAGCTATCTTACCGGCCCTTTTCCTTAAGTTTTGAAAAGCTGTGTTTTCCTATAAGTAATTTCTAATTTTCCTTGGGATTTGTTTCCCTGATTAAAGAATTTCTGTAAATATCATGACTTTAATTTTATTAATTTCTAACTACCTCCTTGTGGTTACAGAAGACATTTTGATTTTTTTTTTTTTTTAAAGAAATCCATTGGCCAGGTGTTGTGGTGCATGTTTGTAATCCCAGCACTCTAGAGGCTGAGTTAGGAGAAACCTCATGATTTTTGAGACCAGCCAAGGCTAATAAGGTGAGTAGAATGCAAACCTGAACAAAACAGTGAAATCCTATCTAAAAAACCAAGGGCCGGCCAAATAGCTCAACGGATTAAAGTGCCTGAAAGTAGGTTCATGGGCCGGGGATTGGATCCCCTGGCCTGCCATGCTGGCCCTGCCCCCGGGGCACACTGAGATGGTGATTAAGACTGGGCATGGTGGTTCATGCCTGTAATCCCAGCGCTTGGGAGGCTGTGAACCGAAGGATCACTATGAGTGTCTGATCTATGCAGTGAGACCCTGTACACCCTGTCCTAAATCAAAAATAAAAAACCAAAACAAAAACTCAAAACTAAATCTACTGAAATTTAATTTGTGGCCTAATACATGTTCTCAGAAAATTTTCCAGGTATTTGTATACTTGAGAAGAGTATCCCACTGGTGTTTATTCTGTATATATTTATGAGATCTAACTGGTTTATATTGAGACCTCTATCCATAACTGATTAGAAGTACTTAAGTCTCTATTATTGTAAAGTTATATATTTTTCCTTCAGTTGTGTTGGTTTTTGGTTTATTTATTTTGATGGTCTGTCACTGGGGTATAGCTGTTTATCATTTGTGTTGCTTTCTTGTTCTGCTGAACATTAACATACATCATTGTATATCACTGTGTTTCATAACCATTGTTTAATTTAAAGTCTATTTATTATAGTCCTCTTTTGGCTATTATTTACATAAGACATCTTGTAAAGAGCACACAGTAAAATCATGTTATTGCTAAATATATCCTACCAATACCTTTTGATTAAAGCTTAAAAGACACACTACTGTCATTTTGTTACTTGATGTCTACATGTCTTGCAGTTTTTCTTGTCCATTCCCTCAATTACTTTAAAACTATAACACACACACACACACACACACACACACGCACGCGCGCGCGCGAGTGGAACATGATAGTACATGCCTATAATCTCAGCAAACTGAAGGTGCTGTTTTTGTGTTCAGCCTCTACAACTTATTGAGATTCTGCCTCAAAAAAATAACACAAAAAGGCTAGAGAAGTAACCCAGTACAAAAGCCCTGGGTTCAAACCCTGTACTTGGGGATTGGTGGTGGTGGGGGAATGGGGGCTAATTTTACAATATATAGAAAACAAAAAAGAATTAACAAGCCATTGTCACACTAATAATATCCTTTATAGTGGTCCATGTATTTACTTTTACTGAGTTATGTTTCATATGGCTTCAAGGTCATGCAGTCCTTTCATTTCACCTTGAAAGGAGACCTTTTATTTTTTGGGGGGGATTCTGACACAGGTCTTGCTATATACTTCAGGTTGGCCTTGAGTTCTCAGCAATCTTCTTGCCTCAGCCTCCCAAGTACTGGGATTACAGGCATATGCTACCATGCTTGGGGCTTTGGTGAATATTTCTTGCAGGAGAGTAACAAACTCTTAGCTTCTGCTTATCTTAGAATGTCTTAAGCTTTTCCCTTCCTTTCCAAGAACAGTTTTGCCAGTTAACTAGATTCTTGATTTGACAAATTCTTTTAGCATTTTTAAATATAGTCATTTACTGCCTCCCGAACTCCGAAGTATTGTGATAAGAAATCTGTTCATAATCTTATTGAGTCACTTTTTTCTTGAGGTTTCTATCTTTGGCTTTTGAAAGATCTGATTTTACTATCCTTCAATAGGGGTGGGGGTCTATAAATACATCTGGTAGTTCACTGAGTTTTTTTATTTATTCTTTCATCAAAGTTAGAAAACTTTCAGCTATTATTTCTTCAAATGATCTGTCTTTTCTCTCTGATATTTCTATAACGTATACTGGTCTGCTCAATGGTGTCCCACACCATCTTTTAGAATCTATCAGTCTGTGCTGATATAACAGAATACTTGAGACTAAGAAAATAAATAAGAATTTTTTGGCTCATAGTCTGGAGAATGGGAAGTCCAATATTGAGGTGCTGCCTTTTTGCTACATTATATGACAAGAGGCGAGAGGATAAAAGAGAAGAGGGATCCAAACTTGCCTTCACCCCCTTTTATAAAGGTGGCATGCTGTCACGAAATAATCTTAAAAACTGTTAGAATAAACCAGGCATGGTAGCACATGCCTGTAATGCCAGCACTTGGAAGCCTGAGGAAATAGGATCAACGTGAATTCACAACTAGCCCAGGCTATATAGTGAGTTCAATACCAGCCTAAACTACACAGCAAGACCTTGTCGCAAAAATCCAAAAAACAAAGAAACAAACCTGAGTAAAACAAAACAAACTGTTTAAAAACAAACAAAACAAAACAAAAAACCAGAAAGGAGGGAAGAGAGCACAGTGGAAGGGGGTTTGATCCATGCCAGCTCCACCCTTAGGGCGCACTGAGATAGTGATGGAGACTGGGTTTGGTGTTGTGTGCCTATAATCCCAGCATTCTAGAGGCTGGAAACAGGAGCACCACTATGAGTCCGATCTATATACTGAGACCTTGTAGATCCTGTACTAAAAATACATTAAAAAAAAAAAAAAAAGAAAAGGAGGGAAGGTAGGGGAAAAATACGATAGGAGATAGGCACAGTGGCACATAACTGTCATCCCAGCACTTGGGAGAGACTGAGACAAGAGGATCCCAGTAAATTCAAAGCCAGCATGAACTACATATTCAGTTGCAAGGCTGCCCTGAATTACACATTAAGACTCTTTGAAGAAACAGCAACAGGCTGGCTGTGTTGGCACACACTGTAATCCCAGTACTCCAGAGGCTGAGGCAGGAGGACTATTGCGAGTTCCAGATCAGCCTGGGCTACAGAGTGAGCTCAAGGTCAGCCTGAGCTGTATAGTGAATCCCTGTCTCAAATGGACAAAAAACAGCAGCAACAAAATGCAGCTGGGAAGAGAGGGAAGTGAGGGTGACACAAAAAGAATTAAGATGTGCTATGTACATGTATGAAGTCCTCATGATGAATGTAATCACTATGTACTACAAATATGGACTAATAAAATTGCTAGAATGGTGATTGTATTGAGGCTTTTTATCAATGTGACAAAACACCCCCCTCCCAATAAATTTAAAAGACAAAATATTTATTTTGGCTCATAGTTTCATATCATCTGTTCCACTGCTTAGGTCAGTGGTGAGGCAGAAACATGACCAATAGGCCTGGACAGGAAAGCTGCTCATATCTATCTCTGAATACTAGTGGATGTTTAATTAATGTATTTCTCAGCTTCAAAATTTCTTTCCTGTTTCTTTTTAGGTTCTCTGTTTATAAATTTTGACCACTCACAAACTGTTCTTCCTGATTTCTCTATATCTTCCTTTAGTTCTTTGAATATCTTTTTTAAAAATTAAATTTATTTTATTTTATTTTTTTGTATTTTAGGGAAGGGTCTACAGGGTGTTCAGGGCCTCACTACTAGATTGGACTCATGATCTGCCTGTTTACAGTCTCCTAAGAGCAGGGATTACAGGCACATGCTACCATGACCAGTCTCAGTTGCTGTCTCAGAGCGCCCTGGGAGTGGGGCTGGCACAGCAGGCCTGGGGATCAAACTCTAGTCCCTGCACCTGCTTGCAAGCACTTTAATCCTGAGTATCTTTAATACAATTGGTTTAAAGTCTTTCTTTGGTTAGCAATCAGGTCTTTTTCAGTTTTTAGCTCATGTTTGTCTTTTGAAGTGGGTCAGACTTTACTGTTGAAAATTGGACATCTAAATACAGTAATGTGGCAACACTTAGAAGCAGACTTTTCCCTCTTCTCAGGTTTTGGTATATATTTGCCACTGTTTTTCAGGACCTCTTTTTTGTTTTGTTTTGTTTTTTTGAGACAGGGTTTTACTATGTAGTCCAGGCTGGCCTCAAACTCCTGGTGATTCTCCTGCCTCAGCCTCCTGAGTGCTCAAATTATAGGTGTGAGCCACCAGGCCTGACCTTGTTTGTTTTTAATTGCTGTAGGTTGTCTCTGTGCCATAGGTCAACCTGGAGATGTAAACATAAAATCTTTTTATGTTTTTTTCTGAGTCTGTACTTTTCCCTGGGCATGTGTAGTTACTTTCCAGTTTCCCCCACATATGCAGTTGCTTTTAAATGACCTAGTCTTTAATGTCTGGCTTTCAAACAGAAAAATTAAAAGGACTAGAAAAAAGACCCTTTAAAATATCCTGGAAGGGCTCAGTAGAATAACTGCTTGCCTGGCAAGCGTAAGATCCTGAGTTCAATCCCTGGTATCACAATAAAATATAATATCCTGGAAATTGCTTCAGTAGGAGAGAGTGGAGAGAGTCCTGTAACAGTTGATGGAAGGTCAACTATGGACATCTGCTTCTTCATATTTCTATAATCACAAGCAGCAATCAGTGATCATAGCACAGATTTCTAATATTTGGAGAACAGGGCCCTTTTTGCCTTTTGACTCTTGACAGCTACTTGCTGGTTGTTCCAAGAAGCATACCCATAACTGTGTATCATGGCCTGGTTAGTGGGTAAGGACATATGGAGAATGACCAAGTATACTAAGACCTGAAATTCACTGTACTTTCTGTACAAGTCATTCCCTGGAAATTGAAAGCCTTCAGTAGACTACAAAATTTTTAAATAATTACATCAGACAGACTCTGTTAGTGCAATTATTTTATACATGGGAAAGAAAAGTTCTCACCACATCTCCAGAATCTCATTTTAACAAGTTATTACAGATCATTCTCAGGCAGGTCATTTGTGGACCCCAAACCATGCCATGAGAATATCTAACCAATAAAGAAAATCTATGGTCATTTATTACCTCAGAGACCCAGGGAATTACTGTCCCATAGGTCTATTTTTTTTTT